TTTTCCCTTTAGGTAGGTCCAAGTGAAGCCAATTTTTTATTAGGCATGTCCTCAAGCTTCTCCTCACTTATATATATATATATATATATATATTCGTTTGTTGCAATATATTTTTACGTTTTAACTTAATTTTCTGTGGCATTCAAGTCTCCCACCACATGCTGCATAAGCTTCAAAAGGAAGCTTCGTTAATGTGGGTACGCATCAATTTATTCGTTTGTACTTCTTTGTCGCGTGATTCGTTGGACATCAAAATATTCATGTAGGTTAAGGAGGCTCCGTCTATACAAATATATTACTTTGGAAATAAAAATAATTTAAATATTGGGTTCGAACTCTCATTTTGTTAACTATATAATTTTAAAAAATAATATTTAAATATTTTCTTCAGTTTTTCATATTGTTTAATTATATGTATAATATGTTGTCACTTTTAAGAAATAATACATTCATTTATATTATCTATCAATGCATTAAAATAACAATAATATTTATGCAATTTATTTGTGAAGTGAAGTATTACTTTGTAATAAATAAAATGATAAAAGGAAAATTGACATCTCTCATTTGGTCGGCCGACTTGTTGTTGAACCTGCTTGCTATAGCCCATTTTTGGAATAATCATATGCGCTATTTTTTCTTTCAATATTAGGAAAAATTATTGTGTGCGGAAAGCGCACGCAGAGCTGCGTGCACTCTCCGATCACAGTCGCACATCAACACTAGCATGTATGAGGCTTGGGTTGATGCGGAGAGCTCTGCGTGGGCTCTTCGTACGCAATAAGCGCTCCAATATTAGGGAGAGATTTCATTTTGCTCCAATTATATTTTCATAAATATTTTGCTCAAGAAAAAAACATTAATTTTTAAATTAAAATATATATTGTTGTAATTTTAGGATATTATTCATTTTATACGATTAAAATAATATACGATGACATTTTTATGAAAGAAACTTAAGGTCATAATTGTAGTTATTTTTTATTAAATTTTAAGGAAAATACCAAAAGTAAATTAATTAATTATTTATTTAGATATTGCTTTAAAGAAGATATTATTGAGAGTATCTACACCAATGATTTTTTAATCAAATGAGGGCTTTTTGGCATTAGAATTGTCTATCAAGACCACAAACTTCTCTCTTATTTCCGGTCTCATCGAAAAGGAAGAAGGAAAAATGGATCAGTTACCAGACATATTGTTAAGTACTTAGTGCTTTTTTTCCTTTCAGGGTGACCATGTTTCAAGGTCTACTACTCATGGGCATTAAGAGAACAACACCTGCCATTGCTTCTGCAATGCCTAATCTTATTCCTGCCTTTGTCTTCATCATTGCAGCAATTCTCAGGTTACCACCAGTACATTTAATCAATGTATTACAAACTATAAACTTTCTCCATCATAAATATAAAACTATAATTCTAAAATTACCTTGTTTGCTGCATAGATTTGAAAAATTCTCCATTTGGTGCAAATATAGTCAAGCCAAAGTGTTGGGAACAACTGTGTGCATGGGTGGTGCCATAGCTATGAGCTTGCTACAGACCCCAACAGCATCAAAGATGCTGTTCTTTCTGGGCGACTCTGCTGAAGGCACCACTCGTAAGGATTGGCTTATGGGTTGCTTCTACCTCCTAGCAGCAATAATCATTGCTGCCAGTGTCATGGTTTTGCAAGTTAGTATATTCTTATTTATGATTTGCATTTTTTTAATGTAATTCTCTTTTATATGTAAAAATGGTTTTAAGTTCAGTTATAAATAAGTGAATTAGATAGAGATCAATAGTTGATATGAAACTATATGCTTATTATTTTAAGAAGCAAAAAGCAAACCTATTGAGCTCATTTATAAGCTTATATACGACTCACACTCCTCATTTTATGCTATAGGAAATAGTAAAATAACATGTAAAAAAGCAAACTTGATTAGCATTTTGTATAATCCTTATCATATTTTAAAGGGATTACATACATACCAAACAATTCTCATATCTTTAATGATCCTACACTTAAACCTCAATACTTATTCATATAAACTCCAAATTAATAGGATCAGATTAAAAATACTGGTGATTTGAACCTTTTTAGAGCGAAATATATTTTATACACTTATATTGAAGTGATTATGAAACTAAAATGTTATAAAAGTAAAAATGATCAAAGTTTTGGCCTTACATATGTAAATACATAAGAATTATATGTTACATTATTATATTTAAATTATAAAGAAGAATGAACTGTTAGTTCCTATTATAAGCCTTTAACTCATTGCATTGATACTTGCTATAAAATGCAAATCACATGCCTAAATAAGTGCAAATAAAGACATAAGTTAGATATTTAGTATTAATAATCAGTAAATTTTCTTGACATATTTCAAACCATGATAGAACAAATTACAATAATAATTAGGATCATTGTTTAACTGTAATTTTTTTTCCCTTTTTTTTAGTTCTAGTAGCATTCTATGAACAACTATAAGTGAGACTTAATTAATATTGAATTAGGTTGCAAGAATTTAAAGGCATTACTCAATTACAAAAATACATGTAACTGTTTTATTTAACATTTTGTATCTATTGAACAACATCAATTGATCATATGCTTGTTCACAGGCAGCAACAATGGTTAGCTTTCCAGCACCATTCTCAGTTTGTGTCATAACCTCATTGATGGGCTCCATCCTTACTGGAATTCTACAAATACTCATTGAGGGAAAACTAAATGTTGGCTCTCCAAATTTGGGCATTTCATTCATAATTCTTATAGTTGTAGTGGTAAGATATTCAACAATTCCTTGATTTTCATAAATTTATTACTTTGAATTGACACAATTCATTGAATTCAGATGTTCTGGTTCCTTTCTAAAGATTGAGTAACATATCTCTTAACTTTTTTGGACTAAGAAAATAATTATTGAATTTTACGTTATGTATTTTTCAGGGATCAGTGATTAGTAATACTTGTATTGTTTATCAAACTTGGTGCGTGAGAAAGAAGGGGCCACTGCTTGTTTCTATTTTCAGCCCCATTCAAACAGTTTGTGCTACAAGTCTCTCAATGATTTTGTTTGGACAATCTATCAGTCTTGGAAGGTAATGAATGGAATTTTATTTTAAATAGTCTATATTTACTGTGTTTTTAGTTGAGTCATAAGCCAAAATATCCAATCCACTCATATTTCTTTAAAATATTTTTTTCAATGCTTCTAACTAACAAAAATGATCAACTTCAAAAGCATATCTAATCAAATTAATCATGAAATCCTTGAAGGGATTTTTTCTTCTTTTATTTTGCCATTTTTTTTCTTATGTTTATTAACATTTGGAATTCTTGTGCAGTTCAATTGGAATGCTTATAATGATCAAAGGGCTTTATTTGGTCCTATGGGCAAAGAGACGAGAAAGTCTTGTACCGGTTGAAAATAACCATAATATGTCAAATGCTCCTCTTGATATAGAAAAGCATCTATTGTCATAGGACCTTAATTAGATTCTATTTGCTTTCTTAGTTGAAAGTATCTCTAAAATTAATGATATTTATTCAATTTTAAACGTTTATGGAAAGGTTTAACATAGAAGCATGGGAGTTTAAAGCTTAATTATGATTGAAGTAAAGAGGATTGAAATTGCATAATGATTATGATGGACTTTCATTTAGAGAAATGCTCCAATGCATTTGAAGTATATTTTGATTTTATTTATGTACATTTTTAAAGATATGTCCTTTTAATATCCCCATTTGAGTAAATGCATACTTACAATTTATGTCCCTGATTGCGACCTTATTTTAATTAATATTCAACTTATTTAAGGGAGCAAATTCCTTTGGAGTGTGTATATGAGTCCCTTCAATAACAAGCATGTGGAATGAAAAATACATATACATATTTAGGCGAAGCAAGAGAAATTTGAATAATTTAAATCTTTTTATTTTCTTAAATTTATTATTTTGTTATGGAAAATACGCCATATCGACAAAGAAAGCTTTATAAAAGATTATTTTGACAAATATAATTTATAGGAAAATTTGATTATTTTTATTTATTTGTTCGTGTTCGGTTTGTTTTAGAGCTAAATAATTATATATATATCGACTAAGAAAGTTTATAAAATATTATTTTGACAAATATAATTTTTAGGAAAATTTGATTATTTTTGAAGAGGTTGTTGATCCCTGTCAAAACTGCTCATTGTTGCGAACAATTCAGGATCGACTCATTAAGAAGGTCGTGTTCAATTCGTTTGATAAGTTAACTAGCTGAACATGAATAATTTTTTGCACTCGAAATATAAATGAGTCAAACACGAACAATGATTTGTTTGTTCGTGTTCGGCTTGTTTTACAGCTAAATAATACGCCATATCGACAAAGAAAGCTTTATAAAAGATTATTTTGACAAATATAATTTATAGGAAAATTTGATTATTTTTAAAGAGGTTGTTGATCCCTGTCAAAACTGCTCATTGTTGCGAACAATTCAGGATCGACTCATTAAGAAGGTCGTGTTCGATTCGTTTGATAAGTTAACTAGCTGAACATGAATAATTTTTTTGCACTCGAAATATAAATGAGTAGAACAGGAACAATGATTTGTTTGTTCGTATTCGGCTTGTTTTAGAGCTAAATAATTATATATATATCGACTAAGAAAGTTTATAAAATATTATTTTGACAAATATAATTTTTAGGAAAATTTGATTATTTTTGAAGAGGTTGTTGATCTCTGTCAAAACTGCTCATTGTTGCGAACAATTCAGGATCGACTCATTAAGAAGGTCGTGTTCGATTAGTTTGATAAGTTAACTAGCTGAACATGAATAATTTTTTTGCACTCGAAATATAAATGAGTTGAACACGAACAATGATTTGTTTGTTCGTGTTCGGCTTGTTTTAGAGCTGAGTAATTATATATATATATATCGACTAAGAATGCTTTATAGACTAAGAATGCTTTATAAAAGTTTATAAAATATTATTTTGACAAATATAATTTTTAGGAAAATTTGATTATTTTTGAAGAGGTTGTTGATCCCTGTCAAAACTGCTCATTGTTGCGAACAATTCAGGATCGACTCATTAAGAAGGTCGTGTTCGATTCGTTTGATAAGTTAACTAGCTGAACATGAATAATTTTTTTGCACTGGAAATATAAATGAGTCGAACACGAACAATGATTTGTTTGTTCGTGTTCGGCTTGTTTTAGAGCTAAATAATTATATATATATTGACTAAGAATGCTTTATAAAAGATTATTTTGACAAATATAATTTTTAGGAAAATTTGATTATTTTTTAAGAGGTTGTTGATCCCTGTCAAAACTGCTCGTTGTTGCGAACAATTCATGATCGACTCGTTAAGAAGGTTCGATTCGTTTGATAAGTTAACTAGCTGAACATGAATAATTTTTTTGCACTCGAAATATAAATGAGTTGAACACGAACAATGATTTGTTTGTTCGTGTTCGGCTTGTTTTA